ACGGTTATGGAGTCTGAGATTAATATTCCCAAGTCTAAACTCAAGGCCCCTCTAGTAAGAAACCGCAAGATTGGTCGTTGTTTCGATGTGGGAACGAAAGAGAGGATGCCGTTTTGGCTGGCTCGGTTTATTAGAGATAATGATGGAGTCGGACCAAAGATGATCATAGAAAAGATTATAACTGCTACTGATCTAAAATCAAACAACGGACGTCTCTCAATGCCTTTCAATCAAATCGCTGATATGAATTTCTTGACTGAAGAAGAGGAAACGGACATAGAAGAACACTTCAATAAGCATCGCGATGAAGGCGTGAACGCGACTATTGTGGATTGTGAGCTACGTAGATGGAAGGGTAAATCTAAGAAAATGGGCCATGAAAAACAGTTTTCTTTACAATTTGATGACGGGTTGGAATAAAGTGGTCCAAGAGGAAATTCGCCTTTGGTCTTTTCACTCTAATGGCGAACTCTATTTTGCTCTCGTCATTCTTCCCCCCAAGAGAAGCTCTGCTTTAGTGATCCATGACAAACCTAATGGTGACTTGCCTCGCAAGTAAGTTTGGCTTTTCGTTTTTTTTTTTTAAGCTTCACTGAATATTTTAATGATATCAATGGATTAAAGGATTTTTGGCAATGATTATTTTATTAAGGGCTTCTCTCAACACGGTTAAAACTGAATATACAACGAAATTAGATCTTCCCTTGTTTACGATATTTCGGTCTAGTTCTGTTTCCAGAGTCACATTATCTGGTTTCCTTACCCTTGTGAAGTTCAGTTTCCTTAGGAGGTTAATAAATATAATAACCATTTGCAACCACAGAAACATAAAATTAGCTTAGGGACCTGAAAATTATAACCTAATTTGAAAGATTGGCCTAAAAAAAAAAAGATACGAAGATCAGACGAGGGCATATGATGCTTACCTTCGAAACCACGCCATCCTTTAAGAATTATTACCATATTGCCCTTATCCTTTTCTTATACAAATTTGGATTTAAGTGTGTAAGACAAGACTAGGAAATGTAGATGATATTATCATTGTTATATCACAATTCTAACCCACATAATGTATGTAGTTAATAAGAAAAGGTAATTATGAGCTATCGATATGTAGATGATTTTATCATTGGTTGTATTGTAACTTGTAAAATTAATAAATTGGATGTATTTCTTAAATATTTATGAAAGTATAAGAATTACAACAAAAAAAAAATGTTTTAGTTAATCTAACCCATGATTCATGTGATACATGCACTGCATCTCAAAACCTCTAATGTTTCTATTCCAAGCTTCTCCTACCTAGATCTCCTTTTTCATGTCCTTCTTCCTTTCTCTGTAGTAATTAGCTTAGATCGAATCAATTATATATAAAACAATAACAATAGGCCTCTTAAACAAAGG